TAAGGACCCCGATATGAAATTGAGAACTAGGAAAGTTTTGTTTTTTTGAAAGGTGTAATAAAGTTTCCTTTTTCTCTTGTGTTATATTTATTAACGTTATTTATAAAAAAGTTATTTAAAAAATGGTTTGGTACTTGACCTAATTTAAATTTTAGCATAAACAATATATTTTGGTAAATATTAGTTTGATAAATGTTAAGCACATTCATTTCTTTAAATAAGGGTTCAGTGTGTGTAAATTTGTCTTTATGGTAGATTAGTCTAACAGCATGTTTCTGACGGCGATATAAAGTTTTCAATTTGGTTATATGCGTACTCGCCCAAGCTATATTCGCATATATGAGGTAGCTATGTATAAAAGAGAAGTATACAAGTTTTATATTACTTTGCGACAGCATAGGTTTTGCTTTATAAAGTAGACCTATGTTTTTTGATATTTTAGTGTTTAAAGCATTTATGTGACTTTTCCAAGATAAATTTTCATCAATTATAACTCCTAAAAATTTAGTTTCGTGAGTTCTCTCAATTACTAAATTTTCTATTTTAAGAGAGGGTAGAATATTTGGTAGTGTGTTTCTTTGTTGGTTTGAGTGAAATAAAGTGTATTTTGTTTTTTCTATGTTTAGGGATAACTTATTTGTTTTAAACCATATATTTAATTTTTGGAGTTCTATGTTTACATTATCATACAGATCCTTGATGTTTGTCGAAGAGTAAAATAAATTTGTATCGTCTGCAAACATTATAAATTCAAGTTTGCTAGAAACTTTTGGAAGGTCATTTATATAGATTAGGAACAAAAGAGGAGCAAGAATCGAACCTTGAGGAACACCACAAGTTAATTTTAATAATTTACTGTGGTAATTATCATCTGTAATAACACACTGTTATCTGTTATACAGGTAACTTTTAAACCACTGCAGTGTATGGTTTTTTAATCCGTATTTTTCCAACTTTTTTAGTAGGATTTCATGATTTATTGTGTCAAACGCTTTTGACAAGTCTACAAAGACTCCTAATACGAACTTCTTTTCATAGATTGATTCACTAATTCTATTGACGAGGTCTACGATAGCATGCTCTGTCGAGTGCTGAGTTTAAAAGCCATATTGGTTTTCATTCAGGATTTTGTTTGTGGTTAGGTATTTATATAAACGATTGTAGATTATTCGTTCAAACAGTTTTGAAAATACGGGAAGGATTGATATTGGTCTGTAATTATTTAAGGAAGATGTATCTCCGGATTTATAGATAGGAATAATTTTAGCTATTTTTAAATAGTCGGGTACAATTCCTGTAATTATTGAAGAGTTAAATATTTGAAAAATGGGTTTACTTATTTCTGGGAAGACATTCAAAATAATATTGGCTGGGATATTGTCGATACCTGGACCTTTGTTAATTTTTAATGTTTTAATTGCTGCTTCAAATTCTTCGTATTCTAGTTCTTTAAAAACTAGGGAGCAACGAGAGTCCTCGATGTAATTCTCAAATGAATTGTTTGTAGGTTGAATTTTAGAGGCGAGTTTGGAACCTATACTTGCAAAGTATTTGTTAAATTTTTCAGAGATAATTTTTTTTATTATTAAACTCTTTTTCATTTATGAGAACTTTTGGAGGTAGTTGGTTCGAGTTTTTTTTATCTTTACCAATTATTTTTTTTTATAATATCCCAGATTTTTTTATCATCTCCTTTAAATTTTTGTATTTGCTTTGAAAAATATAGTTTTTTGGATTTTAATTTTATTTTTTCAAATAGATTTTTATATTGTTTATACTTAGACAAATTAAAATGGTTTCTATTTTTTAGATATTTTATGTAGAGTTTTTGTTTTTGTTTTGACGATTTTCTTATTCCTTGGGTAATCCATGGAGTGGTTAGGTATTTTGCTTTAACTTCTTTTTCGACCTTTGGAAAATGTTTATTGTAGAGATTTAGGAAAATATTTATGAACTTATTGTAAGCGGAATTTGTGTGTCCGAGGTTACATTCATGATATATTTTTGACCAATTTACTACCGCTAGTGAGTCTTTTAGTTTTTGGGTCGAGAATTTATTTATGCTTCTTTTGATGATTTTTATTTTCAAGTTATTGACACGTGTTGCTTGTTGTGATAGTGAGAAGTAAATTGGGAAGTGGTCAGATATTTCCGTTTTAATTATTATAACTTTTAAGGATGGATCTTGAATTGAATTTGTCAATATATTGTCAATAGCTGTAATTGAGGTGGGAGTTACCCGGGTGGGTTTGTTTATAATTGGGAAAATGTAATGTTGTATCATATCATCGAAAAAAATTTTGGTATTAGCGTGTTCATGATAGCTTAGGTAATTTATGTTCATGTCACCAATACAGAATAGCTTTTTATGTTCAACATTGCTTGTTGTATACATTTGTTTCATAAAACTCGAAAACATTATAATATCTCTATCGGGCGGTCTATAACAAGAGGATATTAAGAGATTTTTTGTAGTATCATTTACTTCAACTGTAAAGACCTCACTATTTGAATCAGAAATAGAAAGATCATTTCTAATTTTTGTGTTTAAGTCATTATGGATGAAGGTTATTATTACACCTCCTCTTTTGTTAGCTTTTCTTTCATAAGAAATAAGATTATAATAAGGGATTAGGAGGTTTGAATTTGTATAAGAATTTTCGTCGGAACACCAAGTTTCTGTAAGACAAATCATGCTAAAGGAATATTTGCATTCGAAAAGGAAAATTTTTAACTTATCGATATTTGTATTTAAGCTCCTAATGTTTATGTGTATTACCGTAAACTCGTCTATATTGTTATGAAGTTCAGCTTTAAAAGTTTTAGTATCAAAGTATGGAGAGTCAGGTCCATTAAAAATAAATAAATCGTCGTCGTATAAATCATTCGCAAAGATATTATTTTTAGTTTTAAAAAAGTCAAAACGCAACTTATCAAAATCTTTTGTTATAAAATCATTAGCCATGACGAAAAAAGAATTAAATCAATTTTTTTTTTTTTTAATAGAATTCGACTTGAGTAAAGTTATTTTTGAAAGCGCGTTAATGCATTATTTAAATTCTTGGGTAGTTGTAACAGTATCAATAACAGCCAAACTGAATTAATTCAAAAAGAGATTTTCCGGAATAATATCGAAATAAAAAAATAAAACTGATATTGGTAAAAAATGGAATATTATTGAAAATCCCAAAAGTAGAACAAGATCGAAATTGGCAGAAAATTGCTAATATCGAAATAATTATAAATTAAAACGTCAAAAATTAAGAAAATGATTATAACTTAGTTTTTTTTTAATTGATAGGCTGCCTGCCCAAAACAAACCCTCAGCTGATAAAGCAACACTCCTTGCATGTTAAATTTATTTGCCAGTTAATGTAGCAACACTCCTCACATGTTCTACCTTTTTTTAGTCGATTTATCAACACTCCTTGCATGTTAATTAATATACGCTGATTAGAAATATTTTTTCGAGCAGTTATACTATTCTACTTTCCCTGTTTTTGAGAATGATCTATATTTGTGAATTTCAAAACTAATACTTCTCGGCATAAATCAAAAATCATAATTTCGACCTTAATGATTAAAATGAGAATAATTATTAGTTTTAAAAATAATATTTTATGCAGGAATTTTAAACTATGTTCCATTTCTTTTTAAGAAAATAAAACACCTTTTTTCACAATAATTGCTAAATTTCTGAGATAAATGAAGATGAATAGCATTTCTAAAATTAATGGGATTTTTGAAGACTTTTCGACAAACTTTGCTTAGAGTACTAAGGTCTTTCTGATCTTGACTTGTCGATTTTTAATCCAAAATGCGTTAAGATTAGGAAGTGTATACGCTTTTTGTTTCAGCACGCATTTTTTTTATACCCCTTTGTTACTCGCCAAACTTTAAATTCAACTTGAGATGTAAATTTACATGGTCGTATCTTTCGAGCACTAATTTTTAAAGATAATTACATTAAATTAAAAACATGTCGATAAATTTAAGTTAAGTAAAAAAATTTTTTAATATTTAATTAACTCTTTGCCCTCACATTTGGGATAAAGGCGTTAAAACTGTTGGGATATTTTTGTACTCAAGCCCCAAACACAGCAATGATTTTCGTAAAACGTTTTTATTTGACATAAAATTCAAATTTAATTATGTTCATAAATATGAACATGCTTAATTTTGTATTTTTTGTATTTTTCGTATTTTTTATGTAATTTCGTTGTGCCTGGAAGTTTTGTATCTGAAACATAAAAAAATTCTGGATTGGCCACTGATTAGATTAGCAGAAAACTCCTTACAAGAACCTGCATCACTAAAAATCAATTATTTCAAAAAAGTGTAAAAAGGTCCGGCTATATCTTTCACTAAATTTTTCTAGAAAATAACTAGTGATGCGTTATAACACTAGCATCAATGTTTTACCACCTCGTAAGCTATCAAGGATCAGTTTTCCAGCTCAACTAAATTTAAAATAATAGACTTTGGCGATATATTTGCCCTACTTTCACAACGACATTCAAAATTTTCTAAAAAAACTTCAACGATCAAAAACTATTACTTTTTTTTATTACTATGAAACATTTTATTTTATATTTCGCAATCAAATAATCAAAATCAGTTCGTTAGACTTGACAGACTCTTCTATATTCCCTAAAAATTCGCTAAAAACAAGTACCGCAAAATAAAATAAATATATGGAATATTATTACATTTCAATAACTTGTCAGAATACAATAACTTGGTTTAAAATATCTTTGTTGAGATGTAATCAAATCCCAAACCGCGTTTTTGATTTGCGTTTTTGATTGCGTTTTTGATTGCGTTTTTGATTACGATTTTAGCGACATTTTAGGACTAGTACAAATGACTTTAAGATTAGTGCCATTTTGTTTCGCGAATTCAGGTATGCAATACCTGAATTCGCGAATGGTATAGGCTACTGTTTTAATTTACGTTTTTAGAGTTGGAGTCTCCCTTACCGTATTACTTAAAAAACTTCGTTTTACTAAACATACATTTTATGAATTTACATTTACAGACCTGTAAAATAGTTTCAAAATTTCATATACCTAATACTCTAAAAAAAAGCTTTATAATTGTTGACAAAGACAAACATAGAAGTTAAAAAACTATCATTTAAAAATTGCATAACTGTAAAATAATTTGTGAACGAAACATTAAAAAAGTTATTTGTTAAAAATAAAGTAAAAAATTCGTCACGTTAAACGTTCCTTGGATAAATTTTTTGATCAAATTCCAATAATAAGGCTCAAACAAGTTTTTTAGAAAGTATGCAGAAAAGAGCACTAAATTCAGTACACCATATTCTCTATAGGTTTGAAAATGTCATGATTTTACACTAAACGTTGGTCCAGTATATTCCTAAAAAATCAAAATAATTAGAAAGTTTTAAAATAAAAACCTGTATCTTTTTTAATTTTTTAATTTTATTTTATTAAAATTTAAAAATAAAAATTAAACTTAAAAAGTAATAATGATTAGGTAAAAAGCCTGTTTTCCAATGACAACCGAATTCCGCATTTAAAACTGATATACTCTACAAACCTTTTCTTAGGAAAATCAATGCCTCGTAGAGTCATTGATTCCCCTTCAGAAGTCACAATATTTAGTGCAGCGCATTTACACACATAAACCATCAAACTATTAGATATTTTTTTTATGTATCAAAACCTGGATAGCAATAATATTTTAATTTATGAAGTTAAAAATAATATTTCAATTAATGATGTTAAAAACGTAATATAAAAATCAAAAATATTAAATGGTGAAAAACATAATTATATTATTTAAAAAAAAATTTATCATTTAATTTTTTTACCAATGTGTTACAGTAGTAATCCAATGGAGTAGGAACTTCTGTTAACCAAGTTAAACTGTAAAATCAAGAATATTACTTGTCAAAATAAAAAATTTACACGTATGCATATCACGTATGTATATGAACATTTCACATAACACGTATGTATATGAACATTAAAGTCACCAACAACAAGAATATTGGCTGATGGATAAAGAGAGAGGATTCAAAACAAATTTATATATATATATATATATATATATATATATATATATATATATATATATATATATATATATATATATATATATATATATATATATATATATATATATATATATATATACAGGGGTGGGACCGCAAAATGTGAACGTTTTTGTTTTATTATAACTATTTTCTCGTTAGATGTAGTTGTACTCTCTCACTCATCAGAAAGTGTCTAAAGAGTTGTTAAATATGAACTATTTTAAATAAGAATGTCCAACCATTGGACATTCTTATTTAAAATAGTTCATATTTAACAGAAAATTAATTATTACAGTCAGAAAAGTGTTCACATTTTGCGGTCCCACCCCTGTATATATATATATATATATATATATATATATATATATATATATATATATATATATAAAATATATATATATATATATATATATATATTATATATATATATATATATATATATATATATATATATATATATATATATATATATATATATATATATATATATATATATATATATATATATATATGTATATATATATATATATATATATATAAATTTCAAAAATAACCATAATTTAAAAAACTTAAAAAAAAAAACATTGAAAAAAAACATTTTTTCAGTTAAAAAAGGTAATTTTTTAGACAGTGAAATCTAAAATAACCTATTTATAAAATCATGATTGTTTTTGAAACTTTTATATAATTTTATGATTACTTTTAAAAGTAATAGTATCTTTATATTATATGTTTATAATATAAAGATACTATAAAGATGGGAAGTATATGAAACATCAGTTTGAAGTTGTCAAATATAAGTCTTTATTTATTTTGTTTGTATCAAAGCTCTGATGGTCTTAATAATACTGCCTATATTTATAAAAAAGCAAAAAAATTCAAGCTGTTTTATGGTGAAGATTTTGGTATAGCTTAACTCTGTTTTTAGGGTCTAATGTTATCTTAATGATAACATAAGACCCTAAAACATTAGATAAATCATAATATAATGTAGTTTTTTAAGGTACATAATATTATCATTTATCTAATGTTTAAAAATTTTTTTTTCAGGGTTACTCAAAGTCTTGAGCCTTGAAAATATTTTTTAGTAAAAAAATTTTAATTCCAGTATTTATTTACTTAATAAAACACATTTAGGGGTTGAGAGCAGACATTTTCAAAAGAATAATGTTTTAAGAGACACCCTATTTATATATATATATATATATATATATATATATATATATATATATATATATATATATATATATATATATATATATATATATATATATATATATATATATATATATATATATATATATACATATATATACATAAATATTTGTGTGTGTGTCAGTGTTCGAAGTGATGAAAAAAAGGTAAAGAAGTAGGTCGTACTATCACCATTATGTTAAATAGTAAGACCTAGAAACTTTTACTATTTTAGATTTAATTCCTAAAAAACTATAGTTTTTTTACTAAAAATAAAAAGTGCATTTTTACAAGTTTTTAATTACAAAAAAAAAAAAAAAAAAAAATTATAATAAAGTTTAACGTATTCTATTGTATTTTTAAAATGATATCAGGCTAATGGCCACCTCATACTCATGCTCATGCATTTTTAATCAAAATTTTCACACAAAGCAAATTTCATAATATCAGCAATCTTAAGCTCAAGGTTTTCAATTGTTTTTGGAGCATTAGCATAGACATTACTTTTAACAAAACCCCAAAAGAATTTGAAAGTCTAAAGAAATTAAATCACAAGATCTTAATTGCCTATGACATCACCATTATGTGATATAGTACGACCTGGAAACTAACCATTGTTTCTTGAGCTGCGTTACACTGCTTAACATTTTACTAACCTTTTTAAAAGTTATTTAATTAAAAATTTTAATAATGGACAAAATTACTTCGGTTTACAGAATCTGTAATTCAATGTCTTAAAATTCAAACTTCTCTGCTGCAAGTTGTGTTTGCATATAATATTCACCAAAGTTACTTTCCATTGATTGAAATATTGACTAAAGCTATATACATTGATTGAAAAACACAGTATTTTTAGGTGATAAACCAATGCGACTCAAAAATTTGGGTAGATTTAAACCCTTTTGATTGTAAGCCGAGTGTTTTACCACTAATCTACTATCGCATTATTAGTCCAATGAAGGTCTGTGTTGATACAATGCTACATAATTATCAGCCATCATAGATCCAGACAATGTGCTAAACAACACCCATCTGGTACTAAGGCTGTTGACAAGTACTCGGGCACCCAAGTACCTTTCCAGGTAGCATTTTCAAATAAAATAACTTTAAATTTCATTTCATTCATTTTTATATTTTAAAACCATTAATCGTAATATAACAGTTTACCAATACTAACTTGGTATATGAAAAAAGATCTTGAAGATTTTGTTGTTAAAAATTTTAATAGTTACGATTTTTTTATCACCATCAGAATTTCTGAAAACATTCAATGCGTTCGTTCAATAACGTTCAAAAAGTTACTTGAGTTTCTGTTTCTTTACTACTCAATTTATACAAGTAATTATTATATAGTTTCTGTTTTTCTTTACGAATAACAGAAATTTAACCATTCCTCTGTGTACATGAAACTTTAGGCTCACATTCACCTTAATCTCTACTCACACTCACCTTAGTCTCTAATAGATGTCTTTCCTAATGCATTTCTAAAATAATCTTATCAATGTTTTAAACTACTGCTTACAGAAAGTAACTTCTTTTTTTAAGTACTACAGGTCAGGTTCAGGATCATCACAATCACTCTGCTACTGGTACCATGTAACCCAGTACTTCCACCCCCTACCTTTTTTAAGTCAGAGTTTATTTCTCAATAAAAATACTCACCTTGGGCAGATACTAATTCCATCCAGCTACTGTCTTGTAGAAGGCCTCCTAGGCAAAGACAGGGGAAACAGAATAACTCTGTTGACCAGTTTCTTCAACTATTAGGATGACGCAAATGTAAACCTGTGTTACATTGTTTTCTGCCTAGGATGATGAATTCTGGATCTTATTAATTCTATTTATGGTTATATGCTTGTGCCTACTTAATAGTAGCTATGGAACTCTTCCTGTTATCTTATAATGAGGGGTACAACTTTAAAACTGAGTTTAACGATTCTGAGACCGACTAATAGTAAAGTTTCCCAATATCTGTGGTAGCTCTCAGAAAGGCTGATTCCATCAATAGCTGTAAAATATCAGAGTATTAACAAAGCCATGTTGCGCATATATGGTGTCCCTTTATTGATGAGCATTATTGTTCAATTTACAATGACTCCAATAGCCGCATTCTTGGCCTGGGGTTATAGTTACACATCAATTCACCAAATTGTTGAGAAATCAGATTTAAATCCTTTGACCATTCTTTTATGTGCTTCTGCTTGGCACTCTATCACCTTTCTCTTTGTTTCAAGACTGCACTCTTTTAGATGTAATCTCTGACCAAATTGACCTTACTCTTTGTCTAGCACCACTGACTCTGCTGTAACTCCATAAATTCTGCATTTTTCAATCTCTTACTCAGTTAACTTTGCCATTCGTTTTCCAGATAACCCTAATCAGTTAGCTTCACTCCTTGATTTGTGTCTTGTCTGTGACCCTAGCTTGAGTTCAGTTTCTTATGTTCTCCTTTAGGTAGTTCTGACCATGCAATGATCTTTATAAACCTTTAATCTTGTACTTCTTCAGACTAAAGCTGACTGGGATTTTTTTCATGATTTTCTTCATTGCAATCCTTCATTACAGGCTGATATATTTTCTTTTTCCACTGATAAATGCGTCTCCAATATAACCTCCTGGGTCCAGGCAGGTATGAAAGCTTTTATTCCTTCTCATCAGTAACAAGTCAAGCTTCATTCTAATCCATGGTTTTTACCTTCTTGTGCAGCTGGTATATTTAATCATAATCATTTTTTTCATCTTTTTCAAAAGAGCAACTTTCTTAAGAACAAAAAGCAAGAAATCAATTATTGCAAGAAATCAATGTAAAAAGTGCTGTCTGATGCTAAGCTCTATTATTTTCAAATTACTAAATCTTGTGTCTTATCTCAGAAGTTAGGCTCTAGAGACTTGAACAGTATCATTATAAAAGGTAGGTGTAACATTCCATCTCTCATTCATGGGATTGATCTCACAAGGATAAGGACAAACTATTTGCAAAGCTTTTCTTCTAATTTGACTCTTGATTCTTATGGCCAATCCTCTTCCTTCCGTTTCAGTTAAACAGGCTAACCCATTGTTTGACATTCAAACCACTTCAGCTTCCGTTGCTAAAGTCATATCTCAATTAAACTATTCTATGGCTTGTGGTCCAGAAAACATTCCTGTCATAGTTTTACAAAAGTGTTCTCCATAACTCTCTAAACTTAATAAATGATTGGCCGAATCTTGTTTTCCTGCTTGCTGGAAAATCGCATCTGTGGTTCCAATTTCTAAAAACTCTGGAGAACATTCTGACCCCACTAACTATCATCTGATCAGTCTTCTTTCTGTCTCATTGATAAACAAGGTCTTTGAGTCATTGATAAGCAAATTTCTAATACCCCATCTTCAGTCCAATAACTTCCTACAATACAATCAATACAATTTTTGATCTTTTTGCTCTTTCTATGGCTGACTTCTGTGATTGAAAGATTTTATTATGTATTAGAGGCGGAGTGGCTAGAGCTATTGCTTTTAACATATCTAAAGCTTTCAAAAAAGTTGGGCATGCTGGTCTTTTCCATAAGCTTGCTTCATATAGTATTAGAATAACAATAATTATTCATATAATTATTAGTCATTTAGCTAGCTCAATTTTATGTTTTTATTATTTTTTAAACATTATTTCTTGCATTTTGTTTATTTTTTATACAGTTAAATAAACATTTATCAATTAATATATATAAAAGCAAACAAATATCATTCGTTTTGTTTGACAAAATGATTAGATGATTTTCCTTGCATGACTTATACTTATATAGTAACTATTTTAGGTATGGCAGACACAAAAAACACATTTTTCAACACTGAACACATATAATAGTTTACACACCAAAATATAAGAAACAATTTTGTAAGTTCTTCAGTAGTAAAAAAATATAAATATAATTAACAAACATAACTCACTCCTCTAAGTTTAGTTTTTCTTCCAAGTTTAACATTTCATTGTATTCTTTTAATTTTTCTAAATCAATCTGAAAATTTGAAAATACAATAATTAACTTTGTAAACTTTAAAAAAATAAATGTGTTAGTGTGTGGTAGTGCAGCGGTAAAGCATAGGTGAGAAGTTAGTAAAAAAAAATTTCAGTTTTTCAAGTGTTTCATGTTGTATTTTAATTGAAAAACTCAAGTTGTATTTTAATATGAAAACTTTAAAAACTTAAATAAAAGTTAATACATTTGATCTTAACGCTTAAAAAATGATTTAAGTTAGCTCAAAATGAAAAAGTGATTTTACTAATTTTGACAAGTCCTTTTTTTTCAATAACTTTTTTTTGTAATATAGTTATAAAAAAAAAGTTATTAAAATAATCATTTTTGAACTTTTCATATTATTTTAATTCATTTGAGACCCATCACATTTGAAAAACCTTTTTTCGATAATATTACAGACTCGTAACTTGTTGACCCCTAAAAATATTTTTATATTTAGAAAGAGGAAAAATAGTCTTTAAAAAGCTTTTGTCTTAAACCAAATTAAAATTTATTAATACAATTCAAATTTTATCAAAAAAATCTTTTGGGGCTTTGAAGAGGTGAACATGTAAAGTCTACTACCTCCTCAATCGGGGAGTTGTTTAAATTGCAAACCATTGACTCAGACAAAATTTAAAGATTTTGAAAAAACCTCTTAATGTACTCATAAAATGTATATAATGCTTCAGCACGTAAAATAAAAAATAGAAAGGTAGGCGGTCAATTTGACCAGCTAGCACATAGAATTTACTGTCAACTATTTTTAATAGCCGGTCAATTAAAAAAATTTCTTCATTGTTTTATTTTTTGTTTCATAACACTGTACTTTGTAAATAAAAAAATACTTTATTCTTTAAAACAATTAATTTCAACAATATTTTTTACCAACAATAACTTTTTTTAATAAAAAGTTTCAAGCTAAATAACTAATGTTCCAAATAACAGTTTGAGATGTTAGTCTAAAATAGCTCACGTGCGCAGATTAAAAACAGAGTTTTTATTAAAAAGGAAGGTTTGTAAAAATCAAAGTAATTTTACATGTTTAATGCAAGCGGTGATGATGATGACAAAGTTTAATCTAGCGCAAAAGTTTATTTTTTAAAACAAAAAAAAATTGAATATTTAATACTAGAAATGCATCGTTTTACAAAATACTTTACAAAAATGTTTTTAAAAAGTTTTTAAACAAAAGTTACTGATGTTAATCACTTTCTTGATAACTCAATTGAAAAATATGCAAATGATAACATAGTTTATTTAAACTGTTATACAGGTTAATAAGGTTCATTCAACACAAATGGTGACAAAATCTTTTTAGGTGAAAATCTTTTTAGGTAAAAATGTGTTTTTTAAAAAGATTCAAAAACAAAAAAAATCAAACAAATTTAATTGAGAAAAAAAAAGTGAAGAAGAGTGTTTTTAATTAACAATAGAAAATGAAAATAAAATAAAAACATAAATCAATTATATAAATGGCAACCAAAAACTTTACTGCAAAGTGAAACTAAAGATGTGTAAAAAATAAAGATATTACTCATATACCTCATATATTTAGAGTTAACTTTTAATTATTACATTAAAACTTTTTTTTTAAATCAATTAGCAATATTTTTTATATTGTTATATAATTATAAGAAAATTTTAATTTAAAAAGATTTTTGGAATTCTTTACCCCTTAATGCTTTACAATGCGCAATGATGTTCTTAATTCTTTGTTATTAAGCACAATGATATTCTTAATTCTTTTTTATTAAGCACAATGATGTTCTTAATAACAAAGCGTTAAGCACAATGATGTTCTTAATAACAAAGCGTTAAGCACAATGATGTTCTTAATAACAAAGCATTAAGCACAATGATGTTCTTAATAACAAAGGGTTAAGCACAATGATGTTTTTAATAACAAAGGGTTAAGCACAATGATGCTCTTAATAACAAAGGGTTAAGCACAATGATGTTCTTAATAATAAAGCGTTAAGCACAATGATGTTCTTAATAACAAAGCGTTAAGCACAATGATGTTCTTAATAACAAAGGGTTAAGCACAATGATGTTCTTAATAACAAAGGGTTAAGCACAATGATGTTCTTAATAACAAAGGGTTAAGCACAATGATGTTCTTAATAACAAAGCGTTAAGCACAATGATGTTCTTAATAACAAAGCGTTAAGCACAATGATGTTCTTAATAACAAAGGGTTAAGCACAATGATGTTCTTAATAACAAAGGGTTAAGCACAATGATGTTCTTAATAACAAAGCGTTAAGCACAATGATGTTCTAAATAACAAAGCGTTAAGCACAATGATGTTCTTAATAACAAAGGGTTAAGCACAATGATGTTCTTAATAACAAAGCGTTAAGCACAATGATGTTCTTAATAACAAAGGGTTAAGCACAATGATGTTTTTAATAAAAAGGGTTAAGCACAATGATGTTCTTAATAACAAAGCGTTAAGCACAATGATGTTCTTAATAACAAAGCGTTAAGCACAATGATGTTCTAAATAACAAAGCGTTAAGCACAATGATGTTCTTAATAACAAAGCGTTAAGCACAATGATGTTCTTAATAACAAAGCGTTAAGCACAATGATGTTCTTAATAACAAAGCGTTAAGCACAATGATGTTCTTAATAACAAAGCGTTAACACAATGATGTTCTTAATAACAAAGCGTTAAGCACAATGATGTTCTTAATAACAAAGCGTTAAGCACAATGATGTTCTTAATAACAAAGCGTTAAACACAATGATGTTCTTAATAACAAAGCGTTAAGCACAATGATGTTCTTAATAACAAAGCGTTAAGCACAATGATGTTCTTAATAACAAAGCGTTAAGCACAATGATGTTCTTAATAACAAAGCGTTAAGCACAATGATGTTCTTAATAACAAAGCGTTAAGCACAATGATGTTCTTAATAACAAAGCGTTAAGCACAATGATGTTCTTAATAACAAAGCGTTAAAAGAATAACAAAAATCTTTTTAAATTGAATGTTTATAATATATATATATATATATATACAATATATATACATCAATATAACAACTTAATTATATTATACAAAAATTTTAAACAAATTGATTAAAAGTTAAATGTATAAAAATATTAAACATGTAAAATTACTTTGATAAATCTTCCTTTTTAATCAAAACTCAGTTTTTAATCACATGAGCTATTTTAGACTAACGTTGTTTCACTAATAATTTTAGACTAACGTTGTTTCACTAATTATTTTTAATCAGGGCACATGAGCTATTTTAGACTAACGTTGTTTCACTAATTATTTTAGACCAAGGTTGTTTCATTAATTAGAAATAAAATCGCTTTTAAACTAAAAATATAAAACTCAAAATAAGAAAATCTAAAAAAATAAAAAATACCTCAGGATGTTCTGAAACTGTTAGCTCTCTGAAATAATGACAATCAGTCTTATAATCCTTGAAAAAACAAAAAACTAATCATTTGATAGACTTTTTATAAAAAATAATAACCATCAAATGAGATTACTGATTAATAAAATAATGCTCTATCTAAAAACAGTTTTTAATTTTTAATTAACTACAATTTTACCCTTTTCATATATTATACAAATAGTCTATTGGGTGTGTAAGGTATAACCAGATCAAACAATAGTCACATTTTATTAGGTTCTGGTACATTATTAAGTTAAGTGCTTCTGTTATACAGAACACTTAACATATAGCACTTAATATACCTAACATAAATTATGACAAGCTCTGTTGATAACTTCAAAAATATACCTAACATAAATTGATTATGAGAAGCTCTGTTGGTAACTTCAAAAATATACCTAACATAAATATATTATTAGAAGGTCTCTCTCTGTTGGTAACTTCAACTGCTTTTTTTTGTATTGTTTGGTTGAAAATTGGCCGATTTTCACTTTAATTTGTCATTTTTTTATTGTATAGTTGTAAAGTAATTTGATTAAAAACCATGATTGTAATAAAGAAACTTGTCTTTATTAGACTATTAATAATAGACTATTTGCATTTTCTTAAAAAATGCAAATAGTCTATTATTACACTTGATATGCATAAAGAATTTTTGAAAATACTGGTAATATCATTATGGTAACACCGATGTCTATAATATGTTATTAGATATCTTCTGTTTTAAAATTGGGTGTAAAAACTGCTACTTTCATTTTATAAGGAATCTGTTTTTAGTGATTTGTTTAAAAAATGCGGTAGTGGTGTAGTGGTAGAGCGCTCGCTTCATAAACGAGTGGTTCCGAGTTCGATCCCCACCACGTCCCTGGTAGTACCGCGCTCAACTTGTTTCTCCGCGCAGCGGCCTTGTTCGTCAAGGTTCGTGTTTCAGAGTTATAGAGTTGAGAGAGGGTTATAGCCACAAACAAGTAGCCTCCTCGTCTGTAGTGGCCTTCTCGGCCTTGAGGAAGTGAATTATAACAAAAAAATAAAAAAAAAAACAAACTATAACTTCTTTAATAGATTTATAGCAGATCTTAACTTGTGGTCCTTGGATGCTCCAGAGGTATACAGTTCTAGGGTTTCATGTAGCAGCCATAGATTTAAAAAAAAATATGCAGTGGAACTTTGATTTTGAATGGAAATATTTTTATATTTTCAATTTATAGTAGCAAGATATGTGGAATCCAATATCATTAATTGAAGTGTGTTTTTATAAAAAAATAATTTTATTCCTTGTTACAACTTGTCAAAAATGCCAACAAAAAAAAAATATATATAAAGATTCATTTGTCACCTACGGTTTTACTTTATTTAATAAAGTTTTTGCTAATGTATAAAGCCAGAAAATTTGTCAGAGCATTTTAAATCAGTCCACCCAGAAAACACATTCAATATTGTAGATGTTTTTGTGTCAAAAAAGCTTGATTTGAGAAAGCGGATAATTTACCCAATTTAGGTTTTACTTTAACACAAAAACCATGTTAAAAAGCTTATACAAAGTTACATATTGCAAACTCACTTTTAGAAACTACAAAATCAACTTTTTATTTTTAGTATGATAAAAAAAGCTTTCTTGCTAAATATGAATCAGATCAGAGCACCTGCAGATGAACAGATAAATTCCATGCTTAGAAACACTCCTGGTTTTGGAGCATTGATCAAGAAAAAGTTTCCTAATGTCACAGTAACTCATTGCTTCTTACACTAATATACATTAGCATTAAAAACTTTTCCTACTTTCTTGAAAGGAATTATGTGTCATAAATAAACCTCCATAAGAGCCACAGCTTTGATTTAAAGTTTAAAAGTTTGAGTACCCAAGAATTTAGCAAAGAAAAATACAAATTTTACCTGCAGGTGCTGCTCAAAACCTTTTTTTATTTAAAGACAGACTGAGTTGTGCAAATTGTGGTGTAAACAAGCTCGCATCACCCTATCATGATCAAGTGACACCAAAAAAAAAAGTGGAAAAAAAACCCTTCAGATCAAGTATGATTTCCTAAGAAAACATCTCTGATTTGTTTGTTACTTTAGACATTTTTTAAACAACAAAAAGCAAAAAGGCTTTTAGCATATTGCAAAGATTTGGTTAAACTGAGAATTATATTTGAGATAAGGGGATGAGAGCACTATTTGAGATAAAGGGCACAGGATCAGACTATATTCTTTTTAAAGCTTTTGAAGCTGCTGGAGCCAAAAACAACAAGAGCAAGGGACTATAAAAATATCAATCATGAACCCATTATCATATTGAACCCATCGCCATGTGATACTCTGATTAGAGATTTTATTTCACTCATGAAGCATCACTTACTTCTTGGGGGTGGTGAACCACTTGTGGTGAACCTCAAAAGGTTTTCTGGGAGTGGAAAGTTCAAATTATTTTGGATTTTGTGACACTGTGGTGAGTAAAAGTAACGTCGTTACTTTATTTCTAAATTTAAATCCTTTTTCTTTTTTGAACCTAATTTAAAAATTTTATTTGAAAAATAACACAAAGATTTGTTGAATTTTACTTTTGATGAAAATTAAAAAAAAAATTGGAAACTTCTGGTACTAATAAAAGAGTGGGTCGATTACACATTTTGTCTAACAACGGCATAAATTTTAAACTTTTGACTGTATAATCTATTGCTGACAAATCATTAAATGCAAGTTGCATATAAATCAAACCAGGGGTATCAATATTACTTTAGCATTCAAACAAAAAAGATCTTTATATTTATGCAATTAAAAAAGCAAAACACCTCAGTATACATAACTAATTATTTCAGGGTTACCCTATTACCTTTTTTAAATTAAAAATTTACTTGAATTTACATATTAGTATTTACATAATTTTATATTTATATTTAGTTATTAGTAATATTTGTTAATTAAAAAAATAACTATTCTAGATATATCTAAAAAATAGTAAAAATTATTAAAAATTATATGTAATATATAGTTAAATGTAATAGTTACAACTATTCAATATATTTAATACATAAAAGGTTTAAATTTTTGTTTATATTTTATATTTCAATGTCATATAACCTATAGATTTATATTTAAAAATTTATTGGCTTCAAGCCAATTAAACCAAAATTTCTAACTCAAATATCAAACATTTGTAAACTTTCAAAGACAATAAATGTTTACAAATTTGATTAAACTTGAAAAAATTATTTACATATAAAATATAAACCTTTTCTCTGTATTATAAAAATAACATAATGCACCTTTGTTCTGTATGGTGGTGCAAGAATATCAAAGAATGCAGCTGGACCACTAAAATAAAAAAATAGTAGATATATAATAAACTATTTTTATTTAACTAAATAATTGGGTACATGTTCAACAAATATTGCTTGTATTTACATAAATATAATAAATATTGTATATATCAAGTGTAGTGGTATATATACCACACTGAATTGCATCTGACCATATCAGAGTCTGAAAAACCATTTTAGTTAAGCATAAGTCAAAAAGTGCAGTAAAAAATGAACCTAATAATTTAGAAGGCTACAAAAAATAAATTAAACTAAACTTTAAAAAAAAAAAAAAAACTAAAGCTTTTTTTTTTAATTTATAAATTGCCTGTCCAAACCAAAACCCTCACTCAATGTAGCTGCATTCCTTGCATGTTCTTCCTATTTGTCATTTGATGCAGCGGCACCTTTTGTATTTTTACCTATTTTTCATTCAATATAGCAAAACTCTTGGCATGCTCTATCTATATGTCAGCCAAGTTATCAGCACTTATTGCATGTTCTCCCTATTTGACAGTATATGTAGCAGCACTCATTGCATGTTTTACCTATTTTGTCAATTGATGTAGCATGTACTAAAATAATTTTTAAGACTTTAGAGTAGTCCATTGTGGTCCAGCGTAGTCTGGCACAGTCCGGTGTACTATTCATATACACCAGTATTCGTTTCCAGGCCACAATCTCAGATCAACTCAATATCTAAACTAATGACTCTTTGAAAAAACTTCTCACAACTTTATAAATTTTGTCAACTTGTTGTTTGTGGTTGTTGTTGCTGTTTTTTTTTCTTAACATCTTCACTTTTAATAGGGCTGCAAGCAATTACTATTAAATTTTGAAGTTACTAGAAAAAAAAAAAAAAAGAAGTTTATTGAGCAAGATAACGATTAATAGACAACTTCAATGATTGCAAAAATTTCCAAAAATATAAAGTATATAAGTAAAAACTTCATGAACTAAAAAAAGTAAGACAATAGTAAAGCATAACTTTGAAAGTTTTTTTTGTTAAGCTTGACAACCTAAATCCTTCTAAAGAATTTCCTTAAACACAGTCACATCACTATTTTATACTATGTAATAATGGAAAGCTAGAAACTCTAAGTATACTAGGTGATGCAGCATACTGGAATGTTTAAATGTACCTTGCATGTGTACCAGGTGATGCAGCATCTGGAATGTTTAAATGTACCATAAATCTGTACCAGGTGATGCAGCATACTGGAATATTTAAATGTAACTTGCATGTGTGTATAATTAGAAGTGGTAAATTTGGATTGTGAAAGAAGTTGCAAATGTTTTAGATGTTTATGTAAAGTTTAAGCAAACAAGTTGGAGTAAACTTCAAGACAAAGTTGAGTTTCTAAAGTAAATGTTTTAGCGAAAGTAAATACTAAAAAGTAAACACTAAAAAGTAAACACTCAAAAGAAAACACTCAAAAGTAAACACTAAAAAGTAAACACTGAAAAGTAAACACTGAAAAGTACACACTGAAAAGTAAACACTGAAAAGTAAACACTGAAAAGTAAACACTCAAAAGTAAACACTCAAAAGTAAACACTCAAAAGTAAACACTCAAAAGTAAACACTCAAAAGTAAACACTCAAAAGTAAACAATGTCAATTAACAAGAGGTTCTCATACTTCTGAGAGTTTGAATTTGAGTTTTATTTATTTGTTGGAAAACAAAAGTTTTTAATGTAATATACTAATTTCATTTTTGACAAATAAAAAATATAAATAAATAAAAATAGAAGTTTTTAATATCTATTTTAGTTATGTAAGCATATAACAAATTCAAACTTACAGAATTTCCAAAAGTTTTGATATAAAGTTTAACTTTATCTCATTAAAAAATTCCTCAAACTTATTGCTGTATTTCTTCTACTTATATACAAAAAAATTTAACAACTAATTTTTACAAACCTGATACAAATTTCTGAAAATCAGTTTTTTTACAGCAATTATTGCAAATTAAAATAATTTTTTAAACATTAAACATTAGTTTAACATATTTCTGTATAATTTCACTTACTCTGTGGCTTTCATCGAATGATAGATCTCTCTGATTGGCAAAAAAAACTGAGATTTCGTATCTGCAGTAAGTATCTTCTCTGGGATTCGTTTGACTTGTACATCTAAAACAATCATCTAAATAATCGAAACCCTTCCAAAATTTTTGTAGCAAAAAAATATTTTTAAAAACTTACATTTTGAAGTTCCTCCTTTCATAAAATTTCTTGAAATAAAAAAAATTTCATAATCATTATTGTTGTTTATTAATAGATTATTATCATTTTTCAAACAGTAATCAGAAAAATATATATCAAAATCAGAGATCATCAGAGATCATCAGGTCACATTTAAGAAATCTGTAAAATAAATTGCACAAAAAAAAAAAAAAAAAAAAAAAAAAAGGAATTTATTTTAACAAAAAAAATGTTTAAATTCTTTAATTTTTTCTTCATTGACAATAGTGTAGCCCTGTCTTAGGTGGATGTCTTAGGTGTCTAATTTTGAGGTGCGGCTAAAAGGGTTGCAGGTTCATATCCCTCCTTAGGGTGCTCTTTTTTTAAATTTTAATGTTTTTTGATTGATTATGATAAAAAAAATGTTGGCATTATATTGCAGTTTATATATAGCCGATATTTTAAATCAATATTTCCTATATATGTATATATATATATATGTATGTATACATATATATGTATGAGTATATATGTATATATATATATATATATATATATATATATAATATATATATATATATATATATATATATCAAAATGTGGACATTTTAAATTAATGCAATATTATTAACAGTCTTTAGCCAACTTTGAGATCAAGATTGTACCAGCATTGCATCGATGTTGCATTAATGTTGCTTGCTACCAGGGAACTTAATCAGAACTCTTTCTCTAATTTCTTGTAGTTTAAACACTGTTTAATGATAATATTGTGACATAACAATAACAATATGACATAACAATAATTCTCATTAATAAATTCTGCAACTCGTTGTAAAGACTAAAAAGTAGAAAATAAAATATAGCAAAAACATTTGCTAAAAAATATAATCTTTGCTGTACTAAAAAGCTGAAAATAAACTTTTAAATTTAATTTTTTAAAAATAGTTCAGTTAACAGGTCTGTTTTGAAATGAACCTTGAGCAGACCTGCCAATCTTTAGTTGTGATGAGGAGAGGCTAAGGCTATCGCTCTTGACATTTCTAAAGCTTTTGATAAAGTTTGACATGCTGGTCTTCTCCATAAGTTCTTTTCTTATGGTGTGCACATCTTTAAGATTATTGAATCATTTCATACCAATCATAGTATAAAAGTTGATCTCAATGGACAGCACTCTTCTTCATTTCCCATAACTTCAGAGTTTCTCACAATTCTATTCTTGGCCCAAAAATTTTTTTAAATTTACATTACCGATAGAGATTGCAATCCCGGGATCCGGGATCCTGAGATCCCGGGATCCCAGACGTTTTTGGGTCCCGAAAATCCCGGGATTCTAAACACAAAATCTCGGGATCTTCGGGATTATGGCAGGATTGAACTAATTAAATTATTTTGTAAAACAAAATGTTCAAAGTTGGTAACTATACTGAATTATAACGAGTTATATAATGCTGCTTTGCAGGTTTATCCTGTTTATGCTTTATCCTTACGATAAATGGAACAAATTTTTGAATAGACCATGGAGTTCGGGATTTTATCATTGAAAAAACACAAATTAAGGCAGGTTTGTTTGACTATAGTATAAAAAACAATCGTTAAGTTTGTTGGCAAGACTTCTCTCATTAAAAAAATAAATTTTAAAATTGTTGAACGAATTTGTGGTTAAGTGATTGCTTGAGTTTATTAAGTCGTTTTGTTCATTTCAAAAAATATTTTTAGAGAATGAAAAAAATAAAAATGAACAAGTAATAAAAAAAAAATTATATCTAAAAAAATTTAATGATTACTACATAACAATTCCCTTTGGGATATTTCTAGCGATTTGTATAATTATATTTGTACAATTATTAGTTATTGCAACATTATAATGCCCTTGACAATTAATTCCGCTTGAAGGAATTCTAGTGTGAATACATACAAAATTTGACTGTGTAATGAATCGTTTTGAACGTTTTGAACTGATAACCTTTTTAATGCTTTTGTTGTTTACTGCAATAATATGTTGTTTACTAATGCACCTTAAAAAAATATCCTTCATAACATGAACAAATAACATGAATGAAAACAGTGAAAATGGAACATCATTTTTTCTACACAAAAAAGATAAAGACCCAACTTCAGTGTGGTCACATTATTTGAAGTCTGCGGATAATTTGGCAACAAAATGTAAGAAATGTGGTGTAATTTTGAAAACATTGGGTGGTTCTACAAAAGGCCTTCATACGCACTTATCAACTAAGCATAATTTGAAAGTAACTTCAGCCGACAAAAATTTACCTAGTTCGAGTCAACAGTTGAATGATGCCAGAACCGACGAGAAGCCTCCTACGAAATGAAGAATACCGAGTTACTTTGCATCCGAAAAAAAAAAACCTTAGACAAAACACTGGCTCGAATGACAGCTTTAGATGGGCTAACATTTAATGTATTTATAACATCAAAAGATTTAAGGCAATTACTGATTACCAGTGGTTTCGAAAATTTGCCCAAGTCAGCAAACTCAATTAAAAGGATAGTGGAGAGTTACAGCTTAAATATTAGACAGTTAATTTCCAAAGAAATTTATCAATATAAAGCTTTGGGAACACAATTTTCTCTGAGCTTTGATGAATGGACCTCTACAACAAATAAAAGATACATGAATATTAATGTACATATCCCAAATAAGCACTGGAATTTGGGTCTTATTTGTGTATATGGTTCTATGAATGCTGAGAAATGTATTGATGTTTTAAAAACACGTCTAAAGGAGCATAATGTTAATATTGATACAGACATTGTTGATATTGTTACGGATGGTCCAAATGTAATGGTTCGTGTGGTAAAAATTATTGAGGCTGAACACCAGTTGTGTTTAGTTCATGGAATTCACCTTGCAGTTTGTGATGTTCTTTATAAAAAAAGTTCTACGCCAATGTCCGACACCGAAGCACCATTGAAGGAAACTCAAGATATTGTTGATGAAACAGATGATCAGGAAGATGAAGAAAATATCGACGAGGAAATGGGATTAGGCTTTCTTCCCCCAACAAATGATGGGATAGCAAATATGGATTTACTCACCAATGAACGAGTGGTTCTTTCGGAAATAATAGAAGTACTTGCACCTGTCAAATTAGCAGTAGATGCGTTATGCAGACGAGATGCTAATCTATGCACTGCAGATGCAGTACTTATATTTTTATTCAGCAGATTGCTCAAAAACAATCTCCCTTTGCTAATAAAATGTTCCAAGCTATAAAAACAAGAATGGAAAAAAGACAATGTGAAGAAATTTCTGGTGTTTTAAAATACCTTTAAAATCCAAAATATGATGCTGTGAATGATGAAACAAATGTCTGCAAAATTTTTGGAGTTCCTCCTAAAACCCTTATTAGGAAGCAGATAAAAAAACTTATTGAGAGACTAGCTGCTTTTAAAAAATCAAGTATTGATGTTGATGAAAATATAATGGCTGTCGTTAGAAATGAAGAATCACAAGTTCGAGCCTCCCTGTCTTTAAGAGAAAAGTTACAAGAACAAATTGCACAAAGCATGAAAGCCATTGAACCAGAAACACAAACTTCAAATTTAATGTCAATCATAAAGAAAGAAATACATCTGTTTGAAAATGGTGGAAACCGGGGGCATAACTTGGAATTAGTATACCAATATTTGTTATCTATTCCACCGACGAGCATCGAACCTGAGCGGGCATTTTCTGCAGCTGGGTATTTGGGAAGTAAAATAAAGAGTAGGCTAAATGACCAAACCTTAAATCCTCTACTATTGCTCTGGGCATATTTTCAGACAAAAAAAGAAAGTTTGTAAATAAAATATGCATTTAATATGAATTGTTTTTTTGTTTTACATTTATTATTTAGTTACCATTTATTTATAAATATAAAATAAAGATTTTCTTTAATTTTTGTCTCTCAATATTAACAAACAACTTGTTATGTTATTTTTTACAAAGTAGCTTGTTGCTACAGCAGCTACATCGGTACCCAAATTTAAGAAAATTTATGTTTACAAATTTATTTCGAAATTTTGATTGTTTAGTTACTTTAGTCAAATACATTTTAAATGTTCAAATGTTATTTACATATCCAATTATTTGATGAAGGTTATTCTGTAAAGTCTGTAATCTTAAAACATAATATGGAAGGTACCGTATATATATTTCTGCATTATTTTAAAATCTTTATATACACCTGCTGCCTGTTACACAATTAAAACAATTTAAGGCGCTGTAGAAAATTATAAGTCATTAAAACATAATGAAATTAAATAAAGAATTGATAACATCAAAAAGTATATTCATATATGCAGTATTAAGTTCTGTTTTTTAGCAAATAACTCACATTATATAAAATCCCGGGATACCGGGATCCCGGGATTTTATTTACTTCAATCGGGATACCGAAATCCCGGGATCGTAATTCATGCCCGGGATTGCAATCCCTAATTACCGATCACTCTGAAATTCTCACATCTAAAGTGGCATTGTTCACTGATGATACTACCATTTATTCTTGTCTTGATAAAAACCAACACTCTCTGATTGTTCAGAGAGGGCAATTTGGCTTGAAAAGGATCTCACTATTACAGCATGGGGTTCTCAGTGGCTGGTGAATTTTAACTTAGATAAAACTTAATTTTTTTGGACTAATTGTTATTGCAACAATCTAGATTTTTCTATATTTATGAACGGTAATGTACTCGATAAGTCATCATTTTTTATTTTTTTTAAATTTGAATTCACCTTCCCAATACCATGAAGGCCATTACAACTGAGGAGGTTATTTAAGTTATGGTTACAACTCTATCTATTAATTCTATAACTTCAAAACACAAACCTTGACAAACAAGGCCGCTGCGTGAGGAAACAATTTGATCAAACTTTGTCTTCTAAGATTAACTCTTTTGATCTTTTTTGAAAACAATATATATAATTGTAAAATTAGCATCTACAAAAGTTCCATCTCTTAATCTTGCTTGCCACTTTCTTTCTCCGGATTCTATTCTTTATCTCTATAAATCCTAAAATGCTTGAATGTTTAAATACTCTATT